AAATTTGCTGCTTAAGCTGTTGTGGTGTTCATTCACATTGTTTCTAGATTATGTCACTGCCAATACTTGTAGAAACAATGTGAATGAACACCACAACAGCTTAAGCAGCAAATTTAGCAAAACACAAAATCTGTGTCTGCCAATACTTTTGGCCACGACTGTACTTTAACTTAAGTACAATTTCTCAGTACGTTTTACATCACTGTGAATATGAATATGGAAGCCAGTTTCTGCCATGGAATAATGTTGAATTGAGAGATATAAACGCACAACTCTAAGAAAAAAACGTAAATTCTGTAAAAAAAATCAAAAATCAAAAAATCAAATCACGCAACTTACTTTTTTCCCCCACTACAGAATAAAAAATTCAAAATTGCAGCTTTTTTTCTCACAGTTGGGAATTTCTATCTTGCAATTAGGACTGTTCTTCTCAGAATTGTGACTTCAGGATTCTTTTTTTCTCAGAATTGTGAGGAAAAAAAAACAGAATTGTAAAATAAAGTCATTATAACCTATTCTTTATTCCATAGACGGAAACCGGCTTCCAAATGAATGGCACTGCATGGAAGGTTCATGAAAAATTCATAAATGACTAAATTATAATTTTTATGTGTGTGTGTGTGAACTTTTAATATATTAATAGACTGTTTGGCCTAATATATGTCCAGGAAAGAAACAAAGGGTCATCTAAACAGAGCTCACATTAAAAGCTTCTTAAACATATCTGTTTGTACTGTCTCTGCTCGCGGGAAATGAATTATGGGTGTTTTTCTGTCAGATTCTGTTATACAGTCAAAACACGGCTGTAACTACAGCAACTATCAGCACAGAGAGTGTGAGTGGTTTCAGATTCATGACTTCAGATCAGTGTTTCCCATCAGTGCCCTGATAAAAGCAATTATTTGGACAGGGGAAACAGTCTGCTGAGGTTGTGTTCGGGTCCTCAGTTTCTTACCTGGCGCAGAGTCCGAGCTCAGAGACGGGGTCCCGTCAGGAGGAGCGCTGTCTCCCACCACGTTGGGGTCATGAGGCACAGATGGGGGAGAGGGGAATGATGGATGCCTGGAAACCGACTCCTGCACGAGTTTCTTTGGGACTAAAAAGAGACATAATTCAGTAATTCACCAAAAATTATACTTCTACTTGAATGACCTTTCTACTCCCTCACACACGCTCACAATGCATTAGAGACGACCACGAGTCGTCCAACATACACACAGAAAACAAGACAGTCTTTCTGCTCTATAAACAGTGAAACAAAAGCAAAACATAGTGGCAATGATCAGGATCCAAGCAGAAAGGAGAAAATGACCACAAATTGCCAGATTTGAAAGATAAGATCCCTTAGATACTGTGAATGTAAACTTCCCTAAATCACAGTTGTGTAGTTTTAAGGATTTGTTTAAGCTACTGTGATTTTATCATTGGTATTTGATTATATTTGGCACATGTCCTCAGAGTGAGTTTTGTGATGTTTTACTTTCATAAGACAATAATCAGTTAGTCATTATGACCGTGTCAGATGTACTGCCAAACCTGACAAAACGAAACATATTTGATAATTTCTTGTTAGGAGTGAATCTACAAACAGGACAATTTTAGTGCATATCGCCCTAGAAGGAGTGTAATAAATAAAAATATCCCTCCTAATACTGAATAAATCATAAAAGAAATAATAAAAGTGGTAAAATAAAATAATATAAAACAATATAATACACTACAGTACACTCTCACCAAGGCTGCATATCATAGATAGATAGATAGATTCTATATTATATATGTCACTTACATTAGTATGTATAACATATTATTATACATGACAATATAATTAAATACTTAACTGTAAATAATATAAATTGAAAGATATTCATTATTTTGCTGCTTAAACCCTTAAATGGACTGCCAATAGCCCTGCAAGAGGTCCAGTTTGCTCTCTCTCTCTCTCTCTCTCACACACACACACACACACATACATAGTTCCAGTAACACACAGCATTTGTTTTAAACTCTCTCTGAATAAACATTGCACCAAATTTAGCTAAACAGATTTCAGTTAAACTCTAGAGAGTCTGGAAACAGCCTGAGGACACACACATACACACACACACACACACACACTCATGAAAGCTGAAACATTCACCAGTGCCAGTTACTGACGACTGGGTTACACACACACACACCGTTACTCTGAGGGAGGTCAAGTTAAAGACTGACAAAATCACTCTGTGTGTGTGTGTGTGTGATTGTAAAGCCCCTGGAGCAATTACAGCCCACTGATTGGGGGTAATTGGAGGCACATGTGAGCTTATGTATATTTGTGTGTATGTGTGCCTGTGTGTCTATTTTTATATATGTGAATGTGTGTGTTCATTTTCAACCATTCATTTTCAATTTTGTACAAGATCCTTGAAAACTGACAGAGAATTTAAAAAAAGAGAATTTAAAGGAAAGCGAATTGCAAATCCTGAAATATGAGTCAAGAGTTTCAGAAGAAAATGTGCTTAGATTTGCCAAGATATCAAAGTCTGCGATCAAAGTTACAGATCTCAACAGGATCTCATTTCTCATCAAATTCTCTCAAGATCAAATATAGTTATGCATTTATTTTATAGCTCTATGTCAACTATTGACTCATTTGTATATATTTTTATTTTAGACAAATGTGAGGCAAAGCTGATGCCTAACTGAGATCTCTTGGGGGCTGTTAACACAGAACACATTATTTTCCATTCCAATGCATTACTTTTTAATTGTAGAGGTGTATGACTGTTGCAGTGTCTCACACATGAGTGCCACGTTTTTTAAGACGCTGTGTCCCGTTAAAAGAATTTCAATTTTTACATGCAGTGCCGCTCATCAATGTCAGTTCCAAAACAGCGGACCAATCAGAAGACTCCAGAGGTGGGGCAAGCGTTGCCAGCTTTTGTTTACAGTAGCAAGTTGGCATGGCAACTATTTTATTTGATGGCAAATGTGTGTGGTGGAGGAGGCATTCTGCGATGTGTTGTGCTTTTTTAAAAACCATTCCTGAGCGCTGCGTCTCACATTTTTAGACACAAAGAAGACACATACTATGTGAACAGCCCCTATAAAAAGTCTTGTGAGCTTTGAAAGAGCAACAGCTGATCTATCAGAGCTAACAAAATCTGTTTGAGCATCTTAACCAGCACAACACAGCAACCAATGGTGTGAGTTTGGAGGCAGGGCTTTCTGTTTTTACAACCAATGGAAGACAAGTGAGTGTTAAGGAAACCTGTCTGCAACAGTCACTATTTTTGCAATTCTGTTCAGAGACAATAGCTGCACAGAAAAGACCCACTTTGTGTTTAAACACAAAGAACAGAGACAGCACAAGCATCAACATGGAAATATTCCTGTCATCAGAGTCAAACTAAACCATTCCAGATCTCAAAACGTGTGTGTGTTTTCTCTGGCGTAGTATAGCTCTATTATGTGCCGTATGCTGATCCGTGCAGGAAACAGACACACTTAACTCACTGAAGTGTGGCATTCTGGGACAGCTGGAGGCCTTGCTGCTCAAATAAAGACCTACTAATATCTACAGCAATCTGTCTGTGTGTGTGATTCTAATTCAAGACATCAATGAACAGAACACCAGCCAAACCACCCACCCACACACACACACACACACAATCCTCTAAACCACAGAAAGTGCTATTGAGATTCAATATCAGTGTGCAAACAAAGTACAAATAGTAAAAGTTCATGGAGGAGTGAGTCTGTGTGTGTGTGTGTGTGTGTAAATGTGTGTCCCTCAGTGGTTTTTCCTTGTTTCACCTGAAACATTGTGGCAACTGCACAACAACGTGTAGGCAACCATCCACGACACCCTAGCAACATAATGGTGAGTTTTGCACTGGCAAACACTACTTGTGCAAAATTTCTTCAGAAAATTAAAAAATGTAGTTTGAATGCGAGTGAGTGAGAAAGCACATGCTTTTATGTGTGTGCATGTGCGTGCCTGGTGAGTCCATGAAAACACACACACACACACACCTGCTGACCTTTAGAACCACAATGGCATTTCCACGACAGGCGCTGATGAGAGAATGCTGGTCTCACATCCCACTAAAAGACACAGCCAGCAACACTTGATGGCCAGTGTGTGTGTGTGTTTAGAGAAACACAGTTTGCTTCACTCTTTCATTAGAGCAGCTGTAGGAGGGCTATCAGGCAGTGTTGTGCTGGTTGTTGTGTAATAGTGTTTAGTCTCAGTCAGCGTTGTGATGTTTATTCTCTTGTACACTATCAAACTCCCTGTGCAGGACAGACACATTCCTGATCCGCTCCTCAAAGCTGAAGCATTTCTGAAGTTCTGAAGCAAAAATACAATGATAGGCTTGCCAGGTTTTCCATATTTTCATGACGTTTAGTTTACCAGTAATAATCAGTCTTTCTTAAGGAGTTTAATTAATTTCAGTTAAAAAGCAATTATAATGGCAGTTAAAAAGACATTAAAATGGCAAAATTACAATATTTATTTTCATACTACCATCATAATTTATATATATATATATATATATTAGAGCCCAACCGATATATCGTTTTGCCGATATTATCGACCGATATGAGCCTGTCGCCGATATATCGGTATCTGCGAATATGCCGCCGATATGAACATTTTTTTTACAGAACATATAATGCAGATAAAATGCTTGAAATGGTGTAATTACTTAGTTTGTCCAGCAGAGCGCGCTCCATTGTTTGCTACTGGCGACCTGGATGAAACGCTTTAAAGCTTAAGTCAATGGAAAACCATTGAAACTTTGAACGGCCATATCTCCGTAACGGTGCGGCGAATCCGCACCAAATTCGGGGGATCTCTTCAGCTCAAGGAACCCTCTCGAACGCAAATCGAGTGTACGTCTCGGAGTTCGGGAGTTACGGGTGGTTAAATTCGCGGTCCGGCGCCGAGAGATAGATAGATAGATAGATAGATAGAAATTTACTCAGTGTTTATGGAGCAGGCAAAATGTTTGTGTGGCGTGTGCTGTGTGTGTAGTAGATATAAAGAAGAAAAGAGAGACAGCTGTTATCATTACAGAGCTAATATCAGACCCTCACATGAAAACTCTCGGCTCTTTCTCCGTCTCTCAGATGCAATGGAAAGACAGAGAGAGTCTAAGATAAAAAGTCAAGATGAAAGTCATGTGCAGTATAATTGACTGTGGTCAGTGTTTGTTGCATATGTTAATGTGTCTTCCTACAGGTAATGAACTCAACACAAAAGTCATTATTAACATCAAAGCATTTGAGAGAAACTCATTTCCCATGATGCCTCACTGGAAAAGTTGAGTTTCACTGTACTGACCCACAGCTTTACCCGCACTCCGTCTGGCAGGAATGCATTCTGGGAATTGCCTGAATTCCAGCCTGATCCCTGTCACAGAACTGCTTCTTTATTGTGTATGAAACATGCGTGGAAAACCCTGTTTGAGCGCATGCATGTACATCTGACTGAACACAAAGCACAGACTCCAGTCAAGCAAACTAAAGCCACTGAAGATTCAACACGTGAAGACGGGAAGGACATCAAGATGTCAATGTTGCAACACTGAAGTCAAAGGTCAACAGAGACATGCGCCAATCTCATCCCTAAAGTAAACACATATGAACAAATACACTTCAAGTATCTTCAGGCACTTTTAGGGTTCAACTTCTTAACATTAGATAAACATTCAATAAAAACTGTCCTGGAAAGTGTGACATATATCATATTTCAAGCAATTTTTCCTGACTTTTACATATAAAATTGACATCTCATATTTCATGCTATTATTTATTATGTCTTTTACATATAAAACCTTCACATATCTCAAATTTCATATTTTTGTCCTTTACAAATAAAATCATCACATCTCATATTTCATTATAGTTTTTAATGTCTTTTACATGTAAACTCATTACGTATCTCATATTACATGCTATTTTACGTCTTCTGTATATAAAATCATTACGTATTTCATATGTCATCCCAAGCTTCATTTTACTCCTTGTTTATATTTGTAAAACTTTAAGATCACTTTGATCTTGTCCCAGATCCTATGTAAAATATGGAAAGCCGTAAAAAATATGTATTACCTTGTTAAAGCTCTGAAAATCTAAACAGAGTAAAATGAACATGAACCATTTAATTTCAGTGAGAAGTTAGAGATGTGACATATGTGATGTTGAGAAGAAAAATAGCACTTATACTACATTTTATACTAATGATTTTATATTTGTTATATTATTAACATTTATTATTATTTATAATAATTTAATAAATAATTTACATTATATTTATAATAATTGTATACTTAAAAAAAAAATTTTTTTATAATTGTAATAATTATTTATATTTTATAATAATTTCTATTGTGTGTATTCCCACTGAAGCTGTAATTTGGTCAAAAATGTGTTAAAATAATTATTGTGTGCATTTATGATTCATAAATTGCTAGTTGTGAAATTAGCTATAGCTAATAGTTGCCATTTTATTTAAAAAAATGCTTAAAATGTAATTTCCACCACAAAATGGTATAAACACAATACATCATTTGAGATGTGGTGGAAATGACATTTGATGGATCAAGAGAAAAATGGCAGAATTCGCCTGTGACGCACATATAAACACTGCTGGACATGGTTAGTACACAAATTCAATAAACTAGGCCTAAAAGTGTCCTTTAAAGGAGTTTCTAAAAGTGCACAGGGCCAAACGTGCCCAGAAACACACACACACATTCATAAATGACAGAACAGTAAAACATCCAAAGAATGTTTTTCTACACACCATGTAGAAACAGAGCGAGAGAGAAAGAGAAAGTAAGAGAGATGGATAGTATTTTCTCTGTGTAGATCCACCTGGACAAACACACAGTCACGTTACAGCATTGTTACTGAACACACACACACACACACACAGCGCTGGCTCTGTGTTTATGCTGACACGGCAGACAGACCCACGCTTACCCAAACACACGGGCCTGTCCCACACACACGGAGCCAGAGAACAGAAGATCACGGCAGGACAGCAGATCTACATACGCTCAAACTACAGTCACACATTAACTGCAGCAAATCACACAAGATTCTGGACAAAGTCTGAAATAATCACGCCAGAAAACTGTTGATCTTCCTGTGGGAGACTCAGAGCTACCCGGTCCTGCGTTACTCTGCTTTTTTTATTTGCAGTTTCAGCTTCAAATGGCCTCAAATGATGCATACTACACACTCACAGAAAAATATTAAAGGGGTCCTATTATGCTTTTTCACTTTTTCAACTTTAGTTAGTCTGTAATGTTGCTGTTTGAGCATAAAAAAGATCTACAAAGCTCAAAGTCCAATTCAAAAGGACATTTATTTTAATTTTTAAACAACAGAAATTAGAAATTAGAAACTGACATAAAATAAGTTTACTTCTTTTTTTAATTTTTATTTCAATTAAAATGTATTTTATTTTAAGTAACAAAAATATATATTTTTAATGGCTTTAATATAGTTTTAGTTAATGATAATAACCCTGGTGGGTGGATCCTGGGCAGATTAATCTGCAAGTCAAAAGTCATTGAGTTAAACTACACTGTAAAAAATCCAACTTACATTTTGTATTACAAACTCAGTTTTTAAAGTTTATTCAACTATTTAACATTAAAAAAGTTGAGATAACACAGAAAAGTAAGTAAAATAGAAATTTAGACCAATTTGTTTGACCAAATTAATATTTAAAGTTGGAACAACTAACAACTTTAAGTTTGTTATAAGTATTGCCCACAAAGGCTGATGAGCATGCGCAGTTCGATCACTTTTTTATATACAACGCCATTTTCATTTCTCTTACTTCATTTTCGAGTTGCCTCAAGCGGCGCCCGTTTATTCCGTCACTGTGATCGCTCCGTAAGTGTCGTTCTATGGGTATCAATTCACGATATGATTTAAATGAAATTTGTTCACAATATGCGCTTCTGTACAACATAGGTGGCGGCAAGTTAGTCAATTTCCCCGCCTGGTCTTATGAGTTGCCTCAGGTTAGATGGCGGCAAGTTTTTTTTCTGACCGACAGTGTAATCGCTCCGGTAGGTGCTGTTCTATATATAATATTTACCATAAGACTTGAATTATGTTTGTTCAAAATATGTGCTTTTGTACACCGTATTTCCTTTCGTTTTAGAGTTGCCTCAGGCGGTGCCCGTTCAACGTTAGTCCATCATTGTTATCACTCCGATAAGTGGTGGTTCTTTGTGTATCAATTTAAGATATGATTTGAATGAAATTTGTTCACAATATGCACTTCTTTACAACGTATCGTTAGGTGGCTTCAAGTGAGTTCAATTTTCCCCGAGTTGCCTCAGGTCAGATGGTGCCTGTTTTTTTCCGACAGTGCATCTTAACGTTAACATAATCGCTCCGCTAGGTGCTATTCTTTGCATAATAAATTACGATAATTTTTTTTTTCCCCCAGAATATGTGGTTTTGTATACAGACGTGGACTTCGAGTTGGCTCAGGCGGTGCCCGTTTAGTCTATCCGTGATCACAGGGTAAGGTTTTTTTTTTATGTGTAACGATATCAGGTTACGATATGATTTGAACGAAATTTGTTCACAATATGCTCTTCTGTACAACGGTGTAGGTGGCGGCAAGTTAGTTCAATTTTCCTGCTTCGTCTTCGAGTTGCCTCGGGTCAGACGGCACCAGTTTTTTCCCGACAGTGCAATCGCTCTGGCAGGTACTGTTCTATGCAGGCTGTGATAATAATTTACAATAAGATTTGAATGGTATTTGTTCACAATATGTGCTTCTGTACAACATATGAAGGACAGATATGAAAGTCTTTGGCCAATACATTTTTGACTGGACCTATTGTTATTGTTGCACATTATTTTGGACTTGAATTTGTACTGAGTAGCATTTAATAAATTAATTCACTCATATTGGATTGACAGTTCTGTGCTGAACTTAAAACTCAGGTTGAGTAAAATCTTAAGTCCTGAAGCTGCACTGTAAAATATCAAAAGTTGAGAAAACTCAAAATTCTGCTGAAGCTGGTTGCCTTAAACTTTTAAGTTTTCTCAACTTTTGATTTTTT